ATAAAATACTCTATAACGTTTAAATACAACTTATTATGCTTAAAAAGAAGGTTGAATCGTTCAAACTGCAACAATATGACTGGCTGAGAAATTTAAGGAAAATATTTAATATTTGAGAAATGTATTGATTTATTAAATATGCATCATGAGGATTAAAGGTCTAAATGTAAAGGCTTACTTAGATTGTAGAGTATCACATATGATTAAAGAAAGTAGTGCATATTTTGAAATATAAGAATCGATTATACTGAGAAATTTTAGAGAAATAATTAATAGGATTCTCAAGAAATGCATCATTAAATATTTATATGAGGAATGATTAAATATAAAAGTATATTTAAATTATACAAAACCAGGCCAATGCCATGTCAAATAGAGATTATAAAAGTAAAAGGGAAAGATAAAGATTGGGACAAGCTTAGGAATAAGTAGGATTAAGAAAAATTGAGCAAGATTGAGTATTGAAATTTTTAAATCCAAAAATTATAATTAATATGTATAATAAAATGTTAAATTTTAATCAAAAAGAATATTGGTTTTTACCTTATTGATATATTTTAAAAAAATATTAATTCCTTTGTATTTTTCTTTCACCTTTTAATTGTTTGCTTTTCAACAGCCCAAAAATTCTACAACAACCTTGTAACTACAAATAATAAATTTATATGAAAAATTCGAGGACAAATATTATGATTTTATTTCATTTTTTTTCCTTTTTATATTCATTATAAAAATAAATATATATTTATTAAATAAATCATTAATCGAAAAATAAATACATCCCTTTTAAATAATAATATATTAAAAGAATGATTGCGTAAAAAAAAATCAAAAAAATTTCATCACAAAAAAAAATGACTTTGCAATTTATCATAAAAAATGACTCCACACTTTACATAAAAAATGATAAATATAGAAATAACGAAAGTTATTTATTAAAATAGGATTACATAGGTATATAAAACCATGCCAAATATTGTTCTGATAGAGGCTATACTAGAGGTCTGTGATGGGTGGGGGATTAGCCCATCCCACCCATTATACTGGCCGGTGGCTGGTTTTCTAAAAATAAACATTGGGTGGGAGCGGGGTTATAAAATACTTTTAAAACAATAGACGGGAAAAGGGCGGGTAAATTTTAAATATTTTTTGGGCGAAATAAGAAAAATAGATTCTATTTATTAAAAAAATATTTTTAATAAGCAAAAATACATTAAAATAGAAATAAAAAGCCAAACCAATCATTAAATAATTTTCAAACATTGGGCGGGCAGATGCTAGTGTTTAGGTTAAAACTCGCTTATTGCAAACCTTTAGGATGTACATGTAATGGGTTGAGTACAAAAAAATACCGGGTGTGGATAGGATAATTCATATCAGGTCAAATTTTACGTATTTTAGAGAAAAATATGAATACGATAGCAGAATAAGGACTGGCAATAAAAATGTTGATTAGACATAAATTGCAAATAAAAAATTTTGATCATTTGAAAAAAATATAATAATAATAATTGCATAATTATACAATAAATTTAACTATTATACAGAGAAAATAATTAATAAGGATATAAAATTGGTTTATATCTTAATTAAATTTATTCTTATAAATGAAAAAAATGGATAAATGCAAAAAAATAAAATTTTTTAGCCTTGACGCTTCCTCCATAGTTTTCAGGTTGGCTAAAACGCTCCATAGTAAATTTAATAGAAGAAGCGAGATATTATTTCATTTTAAATTTAGGAGTATGAACGCTGATGACAAATATCCTATAATTAATTTGCGTTGATATTATTTTTTTCTTCTTTTTATAAATAAATTAAAACATAATTCACAAAAAAATTTATTTTTATGATTTCTTTAAAATGTAATAAATATAATCATTCACCTCTTTCGAAATTAATACACCTCTTAAAATATATTATTTTATCAAATAATATATATGTTAAAAAATGGAAACTACATCGGAAACTATAAATTGGTAAAGTTATTACAGCAAAAACAAACCTATGAGTCTACTATTTTAGAGCTGGATTCTCAAGTGGGAGCTATAATTGTATTAAAAGGATTTGTCTACTGTTTATAGGATAAAAAAAGAATCTCTCGGTTAATTAAACGACCTTAATTTTATAACTCAATAATCATAAAAATTTCAGGTTTAAACGGAAAATGTCGATTGGCGGACAAACAATTGAAATTAAAATCTTGTTATTTAGTTAATTGCACTTTTCTATCCTTCTTGATTCCCCCGATGTTAGATGCTAGCGTTAACTGGGCCAATCACATTTATTTCTTTATCCTTCTAGATTCTGCAGTTATTAGTGATTTTTACCGGACTCTGTCTAAACTACCAAATTGCGTGACTAGGATGAATCTCGATGGTACTCTGGCACCAACAAAATAAAGTTGCATTTGAGCACCCTGATATTTTTTGATATGGATTACTTGGTCACTCATAGGCCAAAAAATACAAATGGTATAATAGAAAAATGTAAATAAAATTAAATCATTCAAATTACACACTTAACTTAAATTGAATGATCTAAATTGTTTTTCTCAATTATAACTAACATACGCTAGTATATATACATAGATAGGCATTATTTGTAAAACTTGATTATTTCTGATAAACTAAATTTTTTTACCATAATAAAATAATATCTTTTGCTAATAAAAGTGACTATATTAGTATTTTATTGTGTTTTAAAAAAATTATCAAAATGTTTAATAACGGAAAATTATAAAAATAAGAGCTAGCCCGTTTCCATAAATCAGCAAGTGATAATAGAAGTAACAATGTGCTGTTAGGATATCTTCCTTATTACAGGCCCTAGGCACTCTGCATGACTCTATTATTTTATGAATCCTAGACAGATATATGGTGATCGATTTTAAAATATATATATCATATTCATGTAAAAGAACTATGGTGGTGGAATCAAGAGGTACAAATCACTATACAGGAGAAAAAAGCCCTTTATAAAATATGGTACAAATCCAAAAATGCAGATGACAAGTCAAGATACAAAAAATCCAAGAGATTAGCTACAAAGGCGGTGGCTAGGGCCAAATCTATGGCATACGATGACATGTACGAAGATCTACATACCAAAGAAGGGCAAAATAAAATATACAGATTAGCCAAACAGCGAGAAAAGAACTCTAGGGAAATAAACGGAGCTCCGAAAGTAATCAAAAATAAAGATGGGAAATTGATAATAAAGGAGAAAGAAATAATGAATAGATGGAAAGAATATTTTCAGGAGCTTCTCAACTTTAATTCCCACATATTGCATCTCGACGAACACTCCCCTTGTCAAAACCTTGTACAACCTATAACAGAACAAGAAATAATCACATGCCTCAAGCATATGAAAAACAACAAAGCTAGGGGTCCAGACGATATTCCAATAGAAAGCCTTAAAGCACTAGGAGATGATGGAATACATCTCCTCACAAATCTGTACAATAAAATACTTGGAAATGAAGAGGTCCCCCAAAAATGGAGGCAGAGCTATCTAGTTCCTATCTTCAAAAATAAAGGGGATCCACACAATTGTCAAAATTACAGGGGCATAAAACTAATGTCACACTGTCTAAAACTATACAAAAAAATAATAGAAAAAAGATTAAGAGATATAATCGAAATAGGAGAGACACAGTTTGGCTTTATGCCTGGAAGATCAACAACCGATGCTATCCATGCAATTAGGCAAATGAGTGAAAAATACAGGGAAAAGAACAAAAAGCTACACATGGTCTTTCTCGATCTAGAAAAGGCCTTCGATAGAATCCCAAGAAAACTTATCTGGTGGGCGCTACGCCACAAAAAAGTTCCCGAAAAATATATAAGAATAATAGAGGATATGTATATGGGACATACAACAATGGTCCGTAGCACAACAGGTACTTCAGCAGGCTTCACAATAGCCGAAGGAGTTCATCAAGGGTCGGCTCTCAGCCCACTTCTCTTCATTACAGTAATAGATGTATTAGCACAGTTTATACCTCAAACAGTCCCGTGGAATATGATATTTGCAGATGATATTGTGATACTTGCCGAATCCAAGGATGAAATGAAAGAAAGGTTAGTGAATTGGATAAATATCCTAGAAACGCACGGATTAAAAGTAAATAGAGAAAAGACGGAGTATATGGTGATAGGAGGAGATGAAACGGAGAGTATTGATATAAATGATTGGCAGATATCCGCAATTGAAAGCTGCAAATATTTGGACTCCACTATACAAACAAACGGCACAATAGAAAAAGAGATAAAGAATAAGATTAATCAAGGGTGGTTAAAGTGGAGATCTTTATCTGGAGTGCTATTTGACAAAAGAATCCCACACAAATTAAAGGGAAAAATTTACAGTTCCATAGTACAACCAACTATTCTATATAGTTCGGAAACATGGCCAACCAAAGATTCAGACGAGAGAAGTCTACAAACTATGGAGATGAGAATGCTGAGGATGATTGCTGGGGTAACAAGAAAGGATAAGGTGCGCAGTACAAGAATACTAAATAGTTTAAAGGTAGTGCCCATTAAGACTAAGTTAATGGTAAACAGACTTAGGTGGTATGGGCACACAATGAGAAGGCCTATGAACTACATAGGAAATAAAGTTGAAAGATTGGAAGTGATGGGCAAACGTAAAAGAGGAAGGCCAAAACTTCAATGGGGCCATAAAGTTAGAGCCAATATAAAGAAGTATAAAATAGATAAAAGAGATTGTACGAATAACATAAAGTGGAGAGAGATGTTGAAGGAGCTTACCACCAGAAAAGGTGAAAGCTAAAGAGAAAAAAAAAAAAATTCATGTATTAAATAAAATATTAACGTTAAAAATTTTTATTACTTATAAATTAGAATTTGTTTTGTTTTATTTTCAGCATAAAATGATATGAAAAATTATTATACCAAAATATTCAATTTTATATTTAATAGAGCATAATGGCACCTGGAGTATTGTATTTTCGACATTAATATTATTGACAATTATTCCTCGTGTAAATAAAATTCTTAATTTACTTTTTGAGCCATTACAAAGTTTTATTTTTGACATTCTATTCCAAATTATAATGGCACCATATTTCCTTCTTAAAAACTTTTATGAAAATCAAATACACCTCTTATTATCTATAAAAGTGTTTTAACTACTTTATTTGAGTTCTTTGAACTCAAGTGGTAGGTAATGATTAGAAAATGTAAATGTTTATTTTAATGTGCATTTTAGGCACAAAGTAATATAGTACATAAGTATGCAATGTTTACAAGAATTAGATAGTGGTATGGTAGATCTTCTCAAAGTAAATAAAGTTTTATTTACTAATTTATTTTTTTAGGATATTTTACCTAGAAATTATGATTATCATGTGTGCTCATTTGAATTATTGGAAGAAAAACAATTTAAATCTATATTTAGGATTGCCATACATACGAAGGAAATGGCTTTAATTTGGAAAAATGATCTAGAAAAGTCATCCCAAAGTATATTTAGAATTTTAAAGACTTTTCCAGATAGTGGCTTAAAAAATGACATGAAAGTTATTTAAATAATTATATCATTTCTGCAATTATTATAATAGATACTTTTTAGATGTCAACATAAACTAAGGCCTAATAAAAGCCATGGCTTTACCAAAAATACTGATTGTCCAGTTAGCATGTGTTTAACTCTTAAAAGAACTTTATTAGGCAGAAAAAGCAGGTTACATTATTTTTTTAAACCATTTTATAATGTTTAAATGGATATGACTAAGTTATACATTCTCATTTTAAGTAAATAAAAATATGAAAAATATAAATTGTGAAAATCTATCATTTATAAGAAATAAATTAAAACAATATTCAAAAAGGTGCATGAGATAGGGTTTTATTTGTAAGAATTTGTTTATTTTAGGGGATCTTTAAATTTTACTTGTGAAATTTTTAACTTATGTTTTAATGTCATAGAACATATTTCTATTTTTTTCAATGTTGAACAAATATTTGTGAATGTATAATAAAGTCAAACCCATGAAAACATAAATATATATTTTATATATATATAAAAATTTCATATTACTTTGTTTAGGTCAAAAGATATACATTTGCCTAGATTCCCCTGTATAGTTGATTTAAGATATAATCACAATCATAAATTATCAAAACAATTGGTTTTTAAGGCCTTTAATGGAAAACAAAAAAGAAACAATATTGATGATGAAAATGGAATATATCTTAAAAATGTGGATTTTAACTTGTGTAAAAACAAAATTTTTAAGGATGGATTAATATTATCTAAACATGATTTGGTTGAATTGATGAATATTAATAAGATCAAAATGAAATTTGAATTTACTATAGATCAAAGTTTAACAAAATATGATAAGGAAAATATGATTAAACATATAAAATCGACACCACAAATAAATATGGAAAATAAATTATTGCCCATTACTTTCAATAAAGAATTATTATACACAAATAATGCAGAAAAACAAAATGTTCAAGATATTTGTTTCAGGCAAAAAAATGATAACAATGAATGCAAAAATCAGAGTAACATGTATTATAATCATTTAGATGAATTATATTTGATTGATGAAATTTCTAACAGTGAATTTGATTTACAATTAAAAAGTTCAAATAAATTGGATGATCAAATTAAATACAACTCCATGCATAATGAAGATTATATTAATTTTATAAATTTAACCTTGTCACCATATAGTAATTTGAATTTGGATGATGATGATAATATAAGTCTTTGGAACTTTAGTGACAATTTGAATAGTTTAACCAATGATTTTAATGGCAAATCAATGATTGCAGATGAAGATGATATAACAGGAGCATTTAGTGATTCTGAAAACTACAATTATTTTTATAATTTATACTTAGATGGTAATGAAAAATTATTAACTGATATTTTGTCATAACAATTAGTTTTATTATTTTCAATTTGGTTACAAAATTAGTCTATATTGATATTTATTTAAAACATTTTCTGATATAATGTGATAGAATAATATTTAAAAACATTTTCTGATATAATGTGATAGAATAATAAACTAGTATAAGAAATCAAGATTTTCACTTGACTTCATTAGAAGTTTTTGTATTATCTTAAAGTTAGGATTAGCTGAATCCTTTAATAATGTTAAAATGATACTTTCAACAGTTGTTATTTTTACTTGACAAGATGACATTAATTTTAATGCTATTTTTCTTGAAATAAAATTATCAAAGATAATTTTAAGTACTTATTCATACCTGTCTAATAAACTTCTAGAAGATGTTGCATCAGCAATTAAGTAAACTGCATAACCATTTTCTAATAACTCAAATGATGTTTGCTGAATACAAACATGTGTTTCTATTCCACATAAAATTATGTTTTGAATATCAATCTTTCTGATATGTACCAAAAGTGATGTTATACACATTGAAAAATGTGTCTTTTCAAATAAAGCCATATTCATTGTGTCAATTTCAGAAACCGTCTTACCTAAGCCTAAAATTGAAAACATTGATAATTTTATACATAACCTATACCTTTTGGGTATTGCTCAGTAGCAATAATAGGAATTTGTAAAATTTTAGCAACATCTATTAATTTTTTTGAATTTATTACAACATCTGAAAAATTTTGAATAGTGCTTCTAAATTTTTCTTGCAAGTCACAAATAAACAACGCTGAGTTCTTTACTAACAGTTTAGGCAACAAAGATTTCATATTAAGAAAATTAAATAAACAGACGATCGCATCAATCATTAAAAAGCATAAGGCCACATTTATAGTAAACGTGTTTTGTAACGCAACTTTATTGCAAGATAAAGGTACAAATTTTTAAATATGAAGCGTGAGGTGCTAAGCTAAAATTTTAAAAACATGTGATACGTTGATAAAAATATGCTATCCGATTTTAAAAATAATAGCGAATTCGATAAAAAGATATATGATTTTTGTTATCTATTATATAAAATAATTCTCTCTACTTTAGCTTTATCTTAAATTAGTTTAAAACAGAATTAACTGTAATAACTAAACGCTTGAAGATAACGCGTTTACTAAAAATGCAGCGTAATTAATAATTTGAAATAAAATATATAATCTTGATATATTTGATTAAAACGAGTAAAAATTTGGCATCAGTATTTAATTTATACAAAAATATTTAATCCAACCTTAAAATATTGAGTTTGAATAAATATCTATTAGTATTATTAAACCATATTGCATCCAAAATTAGATTATGAAATTTTTAATCGCTAATCGCCTTTTAAGGTGTCATTTCCAGGTTTAAAACATTATTTTACGATCTTGATAGATATTTGTGACAAGCTAATAACACATGAAACCTGGTAATTCATAAATTTGATGAGGGATAAAGAAATTTTCTTATTTTTACGAGGAGTTAATGTGAAATATTGTCTACATGTGTGTGGGAGGGACATTTATCTCCATATTTTTTTTATCGTTTAGGAGTAAAAACTATTTGGGGGGACTATATGTATCGCCGCTATTTTTTTCATCAAGACGCTGCCTATTTTGATAAAATGTTTTGGTGTGAATGCAAAATTATTTTGAACATAATTGTAATCAAATTTAACATAATATCTAATTAAAGAGTTGATATGTAGTAATTACAGAGAGTCTAAGATTTGTATCTTTTCTGCTTAAAATGCAACGTCTATAAAACACCCTATAATAAGCGTTGATTTCATTATATATTATTCCCTGATAAGTTGCCTTCCTAAAAAGAGCCTCAGTCTACATGAGAGAAGGGATTAGGAGCAGTTTGCTGCCATAAAGTTTGTAGTCTAATTATTGGGAGATTACTAATAAAATTTCCAAATTAAATCATGGCAGAGTTGTTAATGAGCCGTGCTACAGAGGGGGTACACTTTTTCAAAAACACATATCAGGAGTTTTTAAATTTAATTATTCTTTAAATATTAATAAATTTATTTGTTAATAAAAATAAAATTTATGCAATATTAAATTGATAACAGTTTTATAATGGTTTTTCATCTTATCAGTTAAAATATTAGATATCAAGTTTTTCTTTTGTAAATTTCTTGGAACATCTTGTAAGTCATGTTAATATTCATTTATGGATATATGATAAAAGAAATAGTTTTGGATATTATGGATCCAGAAGAAATCAAATTTTAATTATTTTTTTCTTCTAAAGTTAGATCCTTATGATCCTAACGAAACGAATATTAGGATCAAAGTATTTATTACAGGGCCGTCGCTAGCTTTTACAGTCTCACGGGGCTCAACTAAAAAAAATTTATGGGGGGATGGGCTTCGCTCCCCATGACCCCCAATTACATTAATATATTATACTTTATAAAAATTTGTTAACTGATATAAACGACTACACCGTTGGCCATTATTGTTTATCTAAAATATGCAATCTTATGCTTTCAGCCGTTGTAGTAATAAACTTAAATTACATAGCTAGCAACACAAATAATAGATGCTGGTTAATTTGCAGTAATAGCCATGACACTACGATGTAAACTAGTATCAGAATTTATTATGTTGGATAAATTGATAAAATAAAAACACTAAAAAATCTTTAGAAATAATTGTGGAAATATATTAAAGCCTTGAGTTATTTACACGGCAAAGATGCCATATTAGAAATGAAACATTTTGAAACTATAAAATAAGGAACAGAATGATATGATTAAACAATTAAGATTTTATATATTTTAGCACCACCTCTAGTTGGTATATTATATCTTAAAATAATAGTAGTAAAAATATACTTATATTAAAAATTTAACTCAAAACTGTTTTTTGAAAAAGAAAAAAATAGCTTTCCTAACGTAGAAAAGAAATCAAATTTATTACATCTATTGTAGTATGAATAATAAAATGTTAAATTTAAAATTATGTATAAATAGATGGAAATACTTGAGAGCATATTGTTAGTATATTTATTATCAAAAGCATTTATTAGCAAATTTCATTATAATATGAGCTGTAATATATTATAACTGTCAAATGCGTCTATAAAAGTGGAATTTTATCTAATATTTTATAAACAACTGTATATAATAGAGAATTATATATAGTGTTGTTAAATTGCCGGGTCGGCTTGGCCGAAAACCCAACAAGGTTTGAGCCGAAAAACGACCCTAAACCCAAGCCAACCGATTTGGCCATAGATCAGACCCGACCCAACCCAATGGGTCTCATGAGCCGACCCATCTGGTCGGCTTGCTGGGTCGGCCTGCTGGGTTGGCTTGCTGGGTCGACCTGCTGGGTTGGCTGGTAGGGTCGGCCTGCTGAGTCTTGCTAGGCCAGCCTGCTGGGTTGGCTTGCTGGGTTGGCTTGCTGGGTTGGTTTGCTGGGTTGGTCTGCTGGGTTGGTTTGCTGGGTCGGCCTGCTGGATTAGCTTGATGTAGAAAATTGAACTAGTTTTTTTTAATCCGAATTTAAAGTTTTTAATTTTAGAAAGATGTTCTTAAATCTTTAGTTATAGTAATATATTGGCACTGCCCTTATATTTTATTCCACGAGGAAAAAAGTAAAATGTTTTAAAACTTTGTCTTAAACCTAAAGGTTTATTATACTAGAATGATGTTCTAAAAGGACTAGTAATAAATGGGCACTGCCATTATATTATACTCCACAAGGAAACAATAAATGTCAAAATTAAAAAAAAAATTTTAAGCTTAGTTTGAGGTTTTTGATATTAGAAAGATGTCCTAAAACATTTGGGTTAGTAATAAATTAGCATGGCCATTATATTTTACTCCACGAGGAAAAATAATTAAGAATTTTTTTAAAAATTTTGTTTAAGCCTAGTTAAAAGTTTTTGATACTGGAAATATATACTAAAACTTTTGGGTCTAGTAATAAATTGGCTCTATCATTATATTTTACTTCACGAGGAAAAAAAATTTTGATTTTTTTAAAAATGTTTAAGCCTTGTTAAAAGTTTTTTATTTTTATAGTAAAAACGTGTTCTATAATATCTACGTCTAATAATAAATTGGCACCATTTTATTGTATTCCTCGAGGAAAGAAGCATATTTTTTAAAACGTTGTTTTAAGTTAAGTTAAGCGTTTTTGATTAAAAGGATGTTCTAATACCTCTGAGTCTAGTAATAAATTGGCACTGTTATTATATTTTACTCCAAGTGGAAAAACTATGTTAAAAATTTTTTTAAATTTATTTTAAGCCTAGTTTAAAGTTTTTATACTGAAGAGATGTTCTAAAACTTTTGGGTCTATTTATAAAATGGCACTTCCACTATATTTTACCACAAGGGAAAAAATTATGATTTTTTTTAGACGTTGTTTTAAACCTTTAAATATTTATGTATTAGAAAGATAAAAACCTTTGGGTCTAGTAATGAATTAACACCGCCATTATATTTTACTCCACGATGAATAAATAAATGTTAAAATTTTTTACAAATTTATTTTAAGCGTAGTTTAAACTTCTTTATACTAGAGAGATGTTCTAAAACTTTTGGGTATAAAATATTGGCACTCCACTATATTTTATCACGAGGAACAAAATTATAAAAAAAATTTAAAATTTTGTTTACCTAGTAAAAATTTTGATTCTAAAAAATGTTCTAAAACTTTTGGGTTTAGTAAGAAATTAGCACTATTATTATAATTTAGTCCACGAGGAAATAATAATGAAAATTTTATAAAACTTTGTTTTTATCCTAGTTAATAGTTCTTAATATTGGAAAGATGTTCAAAACTTTTATGTTTATAAATAAATTTATAGTCCCATTTTTCTAAACTTATGTGTGAAATGTAAAATGATAAAAAAAATTATTTATGTTTAGAATCCAATAAAAAGTTTCTGATATTATATTTTCTTAAACCTTTGGAGCATTAATATGGTGTCACACCATTATTATATATTCCATGAGGAAAAATTTTATTTTAGATCTTTGTTTTAAGTTTATTTAAATAATTTTGATATTGGAAAGATGTTTTAAAACTTTTGGGTTCAATAAGTAATTTCTAATTTCATTACTCTTTAACTTCAAGCGTAAAAATTAGAAATAAAATATTATATATTGTTTTGAGCCCGGCAAAAAGTTTTTGATATTAGAAAAATATTGTAAACCTTACTGTCTCGTAAAATTTTGACACTGCTATTATTTTATTCTTTTTAACTTGGGTTGAGTTTAAAATTTTTGGTATAAGATATGAGTGGTATACCATTTGAAACTATTTAGGAGATTGATAGTTAATAAGAAAAGACAGAACAAGTTCAGCAAGGATCCCATTTTTAAATTTACGGCATTCGGATGAATGAATTTTCCCTAATTTTTAAATATATGCTAAAAATATTTTGTATTATATAATTAGTAATTACTATACATATTTTACATCAGATTTGGAAATTTGAAACCGAAGTTTATAATTATATGGTATAAGATCTTGGAAATAATTTTAAACAATTTTTTATAATTTGTGAGTTTTACAAACATTTATTATATTTACATCAGGGATGTGAACCCTTCAACAAAAAAAAAGGGTCCGGGTTCGGGTCCTGTAATAAATTTTTAAAGGACCCGGGTCCAGGGTTCGGGTCCGGGTCCAGGGAACATAAAAATAATGACTCAAAATAAGACTTTTTTTTCATTCATTTTTATTATACTTCAATATATATACACATTCATAATTCAAAATGAAATAATTTAAATTTTAAATACTTTATTCAATCGAACGATCATAATATCTTCTAAAATATCATCCTTGAGATTTCCACGTAAATTAGACAATATGTATTTCAAAGAAGAAAATCCACGTTCTACGCTGACCTAAAATAGATAGTTAGTTATCTTTATAATATATAAATTATTGTAC